TTTCATATGTATCTTCATATTTGAATTTACTGATTCAATTTACTGAAAGAATTAGGAGTATCCGCGTCATATATAAATATAGTATCAAACTTTAAAAAGAAAATTTTCTTTTATTTTGATATGATATTATTGAATAAAAACTATTTTAGCTACCACAAAATATAGGTATCTTCACTTAAATAGTTGGGTAGATTTACTATTACTTTTTCTAGCTGGCATACATACATATATATATATTGATTACACATGATCGTACACATTACAAATGAATTATACATATATAATATATTATATACTCACCGATTTATTAAATATTGTTTAATCAATTGGATGAACAACTATTTATGTTAATTCTTCAAAAATAATCTTAATTGCAAATTTTTGCTACATTTATTTTCAAAACTAAATATGTATGTATTTTTTTATAATATCATTAATATGGGGAACACGCGCAACGCGCGTGCACAGAAACTAGTATATATATATATAACAAAAGGTGAAGTTATATGCATTCATGAATCATGAAGGGAAAAAAAATATTTAATATGATTACTAAAAAGGTAAGTTATCGATAACCTTATGATATATACATAGGTAAAACATTACCCTAGCCTCTGTCCCCAATTCATGTCAATGTTTCATTTTTTACAAGTCATAACTAATTTTTTTAATTATTATTAATATAATAATTAAATTAAATATAATAGCCTCGTTCACTACGTTTTTGTTGTCATTTAAAAAATAAACTCAAGCTAAATTCAAACTAGCAACCTTAAAGTATACAGGGTCAAAACCATCAAACCACACATTGAATTATGTTACACATTTTGTGTAGTTTATATTTCTTGATACCTTTGATTCTATACTTGTTTAACAACATTTTACCACATATTGAATTATGTTGCACTTTTGTTTAATTTATATTTACTGATACATCAATTTTATACTTGTTCGACGATGTTTTCCGAGGAAGGGTTAGGTGTTGGCGTGCATCGATGAAGCATTAAAACGCACTACGCATGAGTGACGTTCGACTTGATTCTCCTCATATCCTGAGTTATAACTTTTGTCATGTTAATATGATTAAAAAAAGTACATAATATAGATAAATATTAATATAATAATTTGACTTGATCTCGAGAAATGAAACATGAAAATAGGACGGATGGAGTAAATAAATAGAGACAACAAAGATTTTTGTATTCATCTTCATGAACTTTATTTAATTATGTATATCAAATTGGAAACAATAAAAATATTTAGGTTAATGAAACTTTGGTAGATGGCGCATGTTCTTCTTTAATTTGGCTTTACGTTCCTTTTCTGCAAGTGCTCCTAGAGCAGAAATCGGCAATTCATGTTCATGTATCACATACGTGTAGTTCCGATCGTAGAACCAATCAGCAAATGCCTTCGATAGAGTCTGCGTATATTAAACAATCAAATTATACATATATGTATACGTATTAGAACAATGTACGTAACGTTTTTTTTAATAAGACATAAATTAAATACGTACCAAGTTGTTAATTGTGGTGATATTAAAAGGAGACCACCAAAATTGGACTTGGCTATGATGATTGAATGAATCAATGAAAACTCCTTTTAATTTTGGGTTAGTTGGTTTGGGCAAAGCATTCAAGAATCGCGATCTAAACTCTGAAATATATTGAATTCACAAGTATTAATAAAATTTTACATAATTAATTAAAAATATATTTTTTACTCATTGATATATTTATAGTACTGACCTAAAAAGGTTTGGTTCGTAGTTGCAGTGCAATTTGAAGAACCAATGCAAGTATTTATCCCAACAGCTATACTATTGTTTATCTGCAAAACAACTCATGCACATTAGTTGAAATTAACACATATTTAAAAATCTTTTGAATTCATGAAATAAGTCTTGATGCATGGTCAATTACACTATACATGCATTTTACATATATTTTATATTACTCTCTCCGTCTACTTTTAATTGTCATACTTTCCTTTTTTAGGGCAAATTATAAGAACTTTGACTAACATTTTATAATGTATTTTTTCATGATTTGATACGCAAAAAAATGAAATTTATAGTACTTTTCATATAGTTTTTGAATATCTAAGTTTTTTGTTTAAAATATTGAATTAATGTAATCTAATTTGTCTTTGCAAATTAGTCAATTGATTTTCAAAAGTGCAACACGACAATTAAAAGTGGACGGAGGGAGTACTATAGTAAGTAGATGAATAAAAACTAGTCTCTATGTTCCAATTTATATGACACATTTCATTTTTTCAAGAGTCAAACAGTTTAAATTTGATCGAAAATTTGTTCATAGAATTTTCAAATTTTTAAAATGAAATTTATATATTTGTAAACTACGTAAAAAGTACTATAAGTCACAACAATCGATAATTCAAAAAATTTAAAAAATATATAAAAATTTACGGTCAAAGATAAACTTGTTTGAATTTGAAAATTCGAAATGTATCACATGAATTAAGACAGAGGAGTAATGAATAACTAATTACCTGATATTTATCATATGCTGAAGAGGCAATGAAAAGGGGTGTCTTGACATATTGTTGCATGTTCTCTGGGAAGAAGCACTGCACAATCATATATATATATATAGGTGTTGTGATTACTTTACTGGTAAAAAATTAACAAAATAATATAATTATATTAATTAAAATTATACCAATTCTGGACTCATCTTTGAAGTGCATTCTTTAGGTAACGCCTTGGCAGATCCCTACAATAGCTCAGATAAATAATAAGTAACTTATAATAATGATAAAGACAAAAAATTAATGGAATAATTAACTAGTTATGAGGATTTTAATTACATGTAAAGTAACAAGTGCTGTATAAAGTTCTGTAAAATTTGCACGAAAAGGCTCCTTGCTGTAATTAGAAAGAGAGACAAAGTTAGATCGAAATATACAACAACAACATTTCCAGTGTAATCCGACTAAATTTACGTGTAAAAATGCGACTTACGCGTTGATAAAATAACCAGCATCATTCATACATTTCACTCTAGGAGTATTTGGCAATAATGTACGAAAATAATCACAATATAACATTGCTGGAAATCCTCCTGCAGAACTTCCACCAAGAAGAGCCTGCAATTATTAATATGAAATCATTAATACTAAATATATAATTCTTATTGCTTATATATATTATAATTAAAATTTACTCACACTTTTGGCCGTTTTTAATCCTTTTTCTAAAAGTTCATCCATCACTGCCTTAAATATTCTTGCACCTCTGAAATGAAGTTTGGTAGCCTAACAAACAAGGAAGTTGTATGTCATTAAACTTTTAAGTTACAATAATAACAACTATGTCTCAATCTTCGAAATTAGACTTTCACGTACGGGATCGACGTATTCGACATCTCCAGTGAATCCTCCACCATCACAGTATCTAATAAATACTTTGTTCCAATTGTAGAATTCTGCAAATTATAATTAAATATTATTATGTTCAACTATATATAATAAAGTATGATAACAAATAGTAGTAATTAGAACCTGGATTTCCACTTTGATTCTTGCTAAACATTCCTGTAAACCACCATGAATTCATAAGATTTGAAGAACCAAATTCAGATTTGGAACGTTCTAGACAAGCTTCAACGGTTCTGCACCATTCTCCCCCCTAATAACAACAATAATGTCAAAATTGAAACAAAATAATTCTTCAAAATATATGTACTATATTCATAACCAATTAGGGGCCGCAAAATTAGCTCATGAAAAATAAATATGTGTACTTGACTTACCGAAAGTTGAACGAGCCAGGTTTGGGCTCCATCTCCAAATCCTGGTTCAAAATGATATGCTGGAGGTGATCCATCCAAGCACACTGCCACAATAAACAAGTTTATTAACAAAAATATATATCTTACATTAATTTTATTTTATTTTGAATTAATAAGTGAATTAAGGAAATTAACCTGCTCCTTTTGACACAGCATTTTTAACGATTGTTTTTGAGACATGATATGCCTCATCTAAGTACGGTGTCACATTTTCTTTTGTAGATGACACAGTATTGATGATAGCCAATGAACAAATAAATAAGCATAAAACTTGAAGGTATGTGTTGGCCATCATCATCCTATAAGACATAAAACAACAAAGAAAAATGAGAAGCTGATGATATCATGAATATACAAGTACATATGCATGTTTGAGAATAAAAAAGGAACTCTACACCTACTTTTTAATATATTTGTTGTAAATTATTTAATTATTCATCCCAATTTTTGATCTATATATAACATTTTATGGAGATAATCTATGGTTAAGAATGTAGTACGAAAACGAAGGTAGATTATAGACGAGAAAAATACTAGCACCACAATTTTCTTGTAACCACAAGATTTGTAATGCCAACAATTTCTATTTGCATGATGTTGTTATATGAGGCGTTTATGGAACACATTGTTATTGGTAACTATTACTTACACGTGTGATTCCAAATTTAACTACTTAAAAAAAATTAAAATTCTAAAAAAAAACTATAAATCAATTAATTCATCAACTTCCTAGAAGATTGTGAACTAGTACAAATGCATTTATACAATATATTATATTAGTGTAATGGTACGCATAAAAATTAACTACTTAGAAAAAATTAATATTCTAAAAAAAACTATAAATCAATTAATTCATCAACTTCCTAGAAGATTGTGAACTAGTACAAATGCATTTATACAATATATTATATTAGTGTAATGGTACGCATAAAAAGGATCGAGGTTCACGATTAGCAAAATCTATCAACTATAAAATGATTATTTTACCCTTAATGAAATAATTTACAGACACACAAATTTATATCATTTATTTTGGACCACAAATTTTAAAAGTCTTCATTTCTTTCTTAAACTCCGTGCTGAATCAAACTACCTCACGTAAAATGGAACGGAGGGAGTAATATATATGATTCTTATTAATGAATAGTGTCCACACAGAGTTAGGTGTTTTACTAGCTAGTGCAATCTAGTATCAAATATCATACAAAGAAAGCAATTTTTCTATACTCTTATCAATGTTATTGACTAACGATGACAAATCGTTCTTCTTAATTGCGCCTTATGGGCATGTGTCACAATTTAAAATTTTGGGATCATAATTAGAGGTGGATCTAGGATTTGAAGGTTATATGGGCCATTATATTATGTTGATTAAACCGATCAAATATTTAACTTATTTTGACCTTGTAAATAGCATATTGGGATGACTTCGATCTGGTTATTCAACCTTTTAGTGTATGATGACAAATAGATCAAACCAGAAATATAATGATAACCTATAGCGCAAAGAATTTTCTTTCCCAACAATAACTATTCATTTGTATATAATTGCATCCAACAAGTTTTCTTATTCTAAAAACACTCAATGATGGCATAATTATCTATATTTATAAACAGGGGCGTAGCTAGAGCTACTTCAGGGTGTCTAGTCGGAAAATTACGTTGTATATATATGTCAAAATTCTACTTTTAAAGGATATACATTTAAAGTTGGACACCCTTGACAAAAGTTATGACTTTGGCGTAGTGGTAACCCCAAATAGAGCACAATATTTTTTTTGTTTTATTTTGACAGTCACACACCATTATTCTTGGACAAGTTTAATAAAAAAAATTGACTCTGTCACTGTTTATAAATACTTCACGCTCTATGTAAAACTAATTATATATAAAGAAGCTGGAGAATTTCACATACATAATTTTATTTAGTAATAGTAACAAACGAAGTATTGACTCACACCAACTTAAAATCTAGAAAGGCCAAGAAAATCAAATGAGATTTCAGTAGAGTTTTCATGTCGTCCTTTAATTTATTGCAACATACATTTTATTTTGCAAATTAAATTTTTCAACAAGATTCAAATTATCATGGTCAAAACTTGTTTTTTTCATATGCATTCAATAATTTAGATAATAGAACAAAGAGTAAGAGAAACTCACCATCGAATTTTTGAAATTTTGAAGAAAAGAAAGGAGCTAGAAAGAATTACTTGGAAAGAGGAAATTATTACTCCTTCTGAATTTCGCCTCAATTACATCGCTTATAATTTATTGTCTAATTATTACTCCCTTCGTCCCAATATTTTAAGGATAGACTAAAAAGTAAATTGTATCACATAAATCCAGATGGATGGATTGAAATAATTTTTTATGCTTTTAAAAGCAATACAAATTACAACAAAAAAATGTCAACAAAAATCAAATTTAAGACTTCTACAACTTGAAATCATATGGATATGATCTTCAGAAATATGACTATATATCATATTAAAGATCACATCTATGTTATGATGATAAAATTATGTCCATTAAGATCATATGTTCCCCGTGGCCTAATGGTTATGCCGCTAACTCCTATGATTTATATATATTAATTATTATTTTGATTTATTAAAAAGTGAAATTTTGTGATGGAAATATACCTGGTAGATTGAATAATAATAATATATATTGGTGAAATAATAAGTAAGTTGATGGAATTCATGACTCGATAGAGATTAATGATATGCCTTTTTGAGAAGCTTAAAAGTTTTAATCGTGACAACCTTGCAAGTGAATTTATGAGACAGGGACCAAACTATAGAGCCTAATTAAAAAGAATTCGGGCTTGCTTTTTCAATTCACATCTATGAGTGAGGATTCCTCTATCTCTTGCTTGCTTCGGCTTAGGGAAGGATGTTCTAATATTATACAATAGCCATAAACGGAATCTTAAGAAGCAGAAAATCTTTCTGGAAAGAAGTAAGAAGCAATCATCAATTCTTCGAAAATATATTCTATTACCGATACATGAAATAAGTTAAGAAGTGCTCTAAAGGAAATTAATCATTGAATTAAATTCGTCAGTAATTTAATTTATTGATTAGTATATGTAATTAACATGGGGAATCACATAAGTGTTTAATGGGGAATTTCAAAATATAGTGTAATTACGAGTTTCTAGTGGAATGATTTGTAATTTATTATGGTGAGAATAATTTAAATTAATTGTTTTGAATTATTTCCATAATAGGAAGCCTCATTAATTAATTTTGTGGTTCATACATGATACAGTTCTCATATTTAACTAGAACTCAGAATCCTATTTCTATGGAAAAAGGAAGACTAACGTTAGTTTCTTGTTTTTTTAAAGAAAAGTGTGGGTTTGTCTTCTCCTTTTTGGATTGGGAAGAAACCTTTATAAGTAGGGTTTTTCTAACCTAGAAAAAGAATAAGTTTTCTATACATATTTTCCCACCCAAGTATTGAGAGAATTCGCTTGTGAACTTGGGATCATTGTAGAAGACCACAAACTGTTGTCCAACTTGTGGAACTGTCGTCTAACTTGTGGATTCAATAGAAGGTATTTTTTCACGCTTCAAGAGGTAATTCTTGAATCTAATTTCAGCATGTTGATGTGTTCTAACATGATTATATGTATTCTAGCATAAAAATATTGGTCATCTATTATTCATGTAAGCAGTATGATTTTTATATGCTTCCGTTGTGCATATAGTTTTCCAACAGTGTTGTTTGAATATCTTGATGACTTTGCAGTTGTTTATTTAGACTATATTGTCATATATAGTCAAACGTTGGATGAACATGTGAAACACTTGAGTATGGTTCTGTCTCGATTGAGGGATTATACACTTTATGTAAAAATGGAGAAATGTGAGTTTGCTCAAAAAGAGATAAAGTTTTTGGGGAATCTAGTTAGTGAAAATCAGGTTCGAATGGATCCTAAGAAAGTGCAGGCTATTGATGATTGGCAGGCACCACACAACGTGAAGGATTTGAGATCATTCTCAAGGTTGGCTAACTATTATAGAAAATATGTTGCTGGTTATTCGAAAAGGGCAGCAGCTATGACTGATTTATTGAAGAATGATGTCAAATGTGTATGGTCGGTGAGATATGAATAAGCTTTTCAGAGCTTGAAGGAAGTTATTGCATCAGAGCAAATACTTAAGCGGCCTGATTTTAGAATTACTATTTGAAGTGCATACTGATGCGTCAGACAAGGCTGTTTGGGGCGTATTGGTGCAATAGGGTCATCATGTGACCTTTAAACGTGGAAAGCTGAATGATGTGAAGCAAAGGTATTCCACTCATGAAAAAGAGATGGTTGTTGTTGTACATTGCTTGCAGGTTTGGAGGGTATACTTGTTGGGTACTCGCACTGTGGTGCGGACAGATAATGTGGTAAATACATTTTTCAAGACTCAGAAAAAGCTAAGTCCAAAGCAAGCAAGATGGCAGAATATGAATTTGTGTGGGAACATAAGCAGGGAACACACAACCAAGTTGCGGATGCCTTAAATCGGAAAAAGGTATTTGTTGTTGTGTATTCTATTTCAAAACGTGAGACTGATTTCTTAGACAAGATCAAATTATGTGCTTTGAACGACTCATTATATGTCAAGTGGATGGGTCAAGTTCAATATGGGACAATGAGTTGGTACTAGACCGAGGACGATCTGCTTTATTTTAAAGGGGGGAGGATCGTGGTACCGAATGGTGATGGGCTGCGTAAAGACTTAATGAAAGAGGTACATGACACCACTTGGGCTGGTCATCCAAGTGTTGAATGGATGTTGGCTCTACTGTTCCGAATTTATTTCTGGCCAAAGATGGAAGATGATACAGAGACATACGTGAAGACTTGTCATATTTGTCAAGTGGACAAGAATGAACATAAGAAGAAAGCTAGTTTGTTGTAGTACTTGCCTATTCCAGAACGGCCATGGTTGTCGGTAAGCATGGATTTTATTTTGGATTTTCCTAAGGTTGATGACATGGCATCTATTATGGTGGTAGTAGACAGGTTTTCAAAATACTTTGTTTTTATCGTTGCTCCTAATTTATGTTCGTAAGAGGTTTCTGCAGAATTATTTTATAAGAATGTGGTTAAGTACTTTGGTGTCCTAGCTGATATTGTGAGTGATACAAATACTCGATCCACGGGCAGATTTTGGTTAGCTTTGTTCAATATGATGAGAACTGATCTGAAATTTTCTACTGCAAATCATCCATAAACAGAAGGACAAACGAAAAGGATTAATCACTTGCTAGAAGAATATTTGAGGCACTA